AAGATAGCTTGATTAATCCGGGTATTCCGCTTCTCGTGTTTCCCCGAACACTACGCACCCGGGCCCCCCGGCCCCTCCCTTCCCCCCTGTCCCCCCGGTCATCGACCGGAAATATGGGTTGTATACATTCATGATCAGTGTGCGCTGTGTTCTGGGGAAGATACCGCGGATTGAACAGAAACTGGCCGTTGATTGCAAGGATCATGAATGTAGACAAGCTATGTTTCCGTTCAGATACGGACGCGGACGGGCACCACGGATTCAACAAATCTACTGGCCGTAGATCGCGACGATCAACGGACGTACGGGATCGCTTAATCCGGCCACATCTGGCCGGAAAGATAGCTTGTATACATTCATCATCAACGGACGAACAGGATGGTTCTCGTTGACGTCATCACCGCTATCGACGTTGTGTTGCCGCACCATCGTCGCCTTTTGTAGTCAATCAATCATGTGATCGTACAAAATGTGTCTGCCGCGGGGAGACCCCGTAAAGCAACCCCTACCTACGTATAAATGCACGTCCTTGTGTGGTGCACACACTAAATTCATTCATCACTCATCAAGCCATCATCAGTCAATCATCAAGCACTCATCAGTCGATCATCAATCACTCATCAATCGATCACTTGGACTCTGTGGAGAACTGCGGAAAGGGAGGCTGCAGCGTAGTCTTTTTTTTTTTTTTTTTGAACTGCAGCGTAGTCCAGCCCAGCGCGAGGTCCCACTAGCAACGGGATAGGATAGAAACGAGTTTGTGGGGCAGTTGAGTGACCCAAATCCTGCCGTGCAGTACTGGTGATCCCACGGTCAGTATTTTACATGTATTACCCGAAAAAGTAAGGAGATCTCAGTATTTTACATGTATTAACCGAAAAAGTACGATCATCAATCAATCATCAATCAATCAATCATCAGTCAGTCATCAACCACTAATCAACCAATCATCTGTCCAACATCAAACAATCATCAGTCCATCATCAATCAATCATCCAGCAATCATCAACCAATCCTGACTCAATCATCAGTCATGAATCAATGATGTCACCCGCGAGCAGTATTGTCGGTTATCGCCATCAAGCATTCATGAAGCTATCATCAATCAATCATCAATCAACGATCAATCAATCATCGATCACTCATCAATCAATCATCAAACTATCACGAATCACTCATCGACCAATCATCAGTCAATCCTCAACCAATCATCAGTCAATTATCAGTCATGAATCAATGATGACTCAATCA